GGTAGGATTTAATGCTCAGTGAAGCATGCCAGCATCAGGCTTTTTGAAATGAGTAGCTAAAGAAATGTCAGCGAAACCTATATTCTGAGGGATGGAGTCTACAGAGAAAACATCTTTGCTTTGCTTTACAAAGCCAGCGTCATCCTTTATTTTCTTTGTCATGGATTCTTACCTCTTCTGAAGCTCAGTAACATTCCAGCTTTCTGTCAAATTCTGTTAGAATCAACCAACTTTATTCTGTGAAGATGATTCCTAGCTAGCAGACCGAAACAAATAATGCATGGCGACTCCTCAGTGTTTGATATGCTTTCTAAGCCAGATCTTCTAAAAGAGTTCTCTTTGTTTCCTAAGAGAGCTAGTGTTTGAGAGACCTAGGTTTCAACTCGCCCACAAAACTCACTGGATGACCTTCAGCCAGTTGTTCTCCCTCCCTCAATGTGACCTACCTCACAGAGCCTCTGACTCATTCTGCTACAAGATAATTTCCTCCCCAGAGTGTCACATTCCCTTCCAATTATTTTACGCTCCTGAAAAAAATCCTCACTACACATCTGGTCAATTGAGCCTTAAGGTCTGCTCTTGCATGACTGCCATCCACTCACCAAGATGTGGACTCTTGAAAATCCTTCCATGTAACAAATGCTGTTTGAAATCCAACAAGATTAGCCCAGGTTAAGATGCCAAAACAATTATAGTTTTATTGTGGTGTATATCTTTATGGACTGGACTGCAGCTCATCAGATACTGATATAATTAGCTGCACTATTTTTGAAAAAATGCACACACACTGAATTGAAAATGTGGGACCAAACGGTCACAAAACGGCACAGTCTATGCTATGCATAAGGTGAAGAAAGTTTTTTTAAAAAGATTTTTTTAAAAAATTGATGGGCAAAAATGAACTATTTCTACTTAGAATTTATTTCACTAAATGTATTTATAGCAACTAGTCTCTTCCATCATTTTAATCATCAGTCGGTCTAAAAATGTTGGCTGAAATCCTGTTGCTTGGCACAGTAAGTCAGAGGAGGCCAACTTGAATCAATGGAACTCATGGAAGAATTGAATTCCTGCTGGTTCAATGGGCCTACTCTAGTGCAATTTACACTTGAATAACAGGATTTCAGCCATTGTGTTTATTTTTGGAAATTAACACTAATAGTTTTTTCCCCTGCACCTATATATTTAGTGGTTGCTGGCAGCAAATAAGTACAGGATTTAAAAGCAGGGTAGGTTCTTATAGGCTTAAAAAAAGTCATAGGCATCCTTCAGTCTCGAGAGACTATGGTAACGTGCTCTGTATGGAGGACTTGGAACAGTGGCCAGTGTTTTGACACTGTACATGAAGCTGGAGTGTCCTCTCCAGAGCATGAAGCCTGGGTAAAATAATGTGGAGGATAGGCTGTTACCCAACCAGCAAATCCCCCCTCTCCACTTCACTGAAATAGTCCAGTGGAAAGGCAAGAGCCAATACAACTGGTTTCAGCAACGTCACAGAAGTTGCCAGAATGACACGAACTGCCTCCGGGACTCCGGCTCCGGATTTTGCCTCAAGGTTAACTCCTGAAGCCTTTTCCATCGGTGGATATAGCCACAAGGCAGTGGAGGTTTGAAATCAGAGTTTTCCTTCTCTTAGATGGGCTGCCTTCCAGGGCTGACAAGTGCCACATATATACAGCTATATGTTCAGCTAAGACAAACAATTCAAAATTCTGCAACAGTTTGTACTGTGTGTGTGTGCGCGCACACATGTGTGCATACCACTTGCCATGTAAAGTGCCAATAACTAATGAAGCCTTTCCCCTCAATGAAATATAAATATAAAACAGGCAAACAAAACTGGAAACTAGAATTGAATAAAAGTTACAAATAGAACAAAAATGTTTATGTCCACACTGTGAATATTTCTACCCCCAAAGTGAAACAGCTTGCATAAAATATTAAAAGTAGTACCAGTCAGTCAGTCAGTCAGTCAGTCAGCCAGCCAGCCAGCCAGCCAGCCAGCCAGCCAGCCAGCCTGCCTGCCTGCCTGCCTGCCTGCCTGCCTGCCTGCCTGCCTGCCTGCCTGCCTGCCTGCCTGCCTGCCTGCCTGCCTATCTATCTATCTATCTATCTATCTATCTATCTATCTATCTATCTATCTATCTATCTATCTATCTATCTATCTATCCATCTATCTATCCATCTATCTATCCAGCAAGTAATTCTAGCAAAAATACGCCAGAATACTACTGGTGTTTTCATAATTTATGTAACTTTCTGTGGCTAATTGACAATGTGACAGAGCATATTTTGGTCACGTTCCTTGTAACATATCAGTTACACAACTGAAATATGCCCGGCACCCCATCTGTTAACTCCAGTTTGCTATAGCAAATTATGTGAGGACCAATAGAATTTGGGCTGCAGAGAAAAATGTGTTGCTGTGTAGATGGGAGAAGAGCAATGTAAAGGCAATATTAATTTTAATGTGCTTTATATATATATATGTTTAGAATGCTGTAAATTGTGCATGCAGAGAACAAGCACAGGATAATGATATTAAAGATCTTTTTCCCCCATGCTATACTCTGACTTCTAAATGTGGTTCTGAAAGCTAAATTATTTTGACTACAAGACATGAAAAGTACGCACAACCGTGGCGCAGTGGTTAAACCGCTGTAGTGCAGCTAAAACTGTGCTCACGACCTGGGGTTCGAATCCCAGGTAGCCGGCTCAAGGTTGACTCAGCCTTCTATCCTTCTGAGGTCAGTAAAATGAGTACCCAGCTCACTGGGGGGCAATGTGTAGCCTGCATAATTAAATTGTAAACCGTCCAGAGAGTGCTTGAAGCGCTATGGGGCGGTATATAAGTAGCATTTTTGCTTTTTGCTTTGCTTTTACACTTACTTTGTACAACCATATGCTTCCATGAAAAATAAGATACATTCTAAGTGGATTTTGCTTGATGCTTTTGTTGTTATCGTTGATGTTTTAATATTGGCCGAATTGAGTGCAGATGTAACTGGATATAACGCTGACATTTCTTTCCTTCTGCTGAATATATCTGTCAGTTATAACAAAGGGAAAAATAACATGTCTGATGGCTAATAGCCATCCATATCTTCTTAGAAGTAAACAGCTGTAAGTTCAGTGATGCTTCCTCTCTGGTACACAGGCACACTGGATTGCAGCTGTAGAAGCAAATTAACCTCTGAATCACTTTTCTAATGGAACAGTTGCACTTAACTCAATAAGAATAGCAGCTTTGGCTGCAGTGGCTTCCTCTGTCCACCCCACTCTTCCCCTGATGCAAGGCTTCCTGCCTGGAGGACTACTTCATTAGTACTTTTCGACTTGCGATGAAACTGAAAGCACAGCACTTTAATTCCATGTGACAACCTGCTGAAGTGTTTTCATTTACCATCTGGCTAGACCAATTATTCTGACCGGCAAAGATTTGTGTGCCATGTACCTTCTTTGATATGGGAAAATCTAATCCTTTGCCAGAAGCAAAAGAAAAATAATAATAATTCTTTAACTCTCTCTCTCCCCCCCCCACGTCAAATTGTTTTTCAAGATGGTGGTGAGGAACTTTATATTATACCACAGCAATCTTTAGAGCCCCAGATCAGTCTTTTTAAAAATAATGCCTGTACATTTGCATTAATCCATTTTTTTTCTATCGCATCGTAAGTACAATGTAAGGACAATGAGAGGAGTTTCTCCTCCAATGAACTTTGCTCTATTTCATTCACAGAAAATAACCAGAGCACAGAGTGCTGTCCTCTGAAGATGCCGGCCACAGAGACTGGCAAAACGTTAGGAAGAACAACCTTCAGAACACGGCCAAAGAGCCCGAAAAACCCACAACAACCAAAGTTACCTTGATTTAAAAGAAAAAAAAGAGAAAAGTGCTGCTAAATTGTGGTACATGGCTTTTTAGCTCAGAAGGAATTTCATGATTGCTAGAAATTTACAAACACAAAGGTTACTGTTTATCATGTGTTCATCATTTCCACACATGTTAAGTGTGCACATGGTAACTAAATGCAAAAAGCAAAGTTAGAGTGACCCAATGAGGAATCAACCCAGTGCAACCTTGCCTATACACAAGGGTAGAGGTTTGTTCTACTTTTGCTTGAGATAGGGCCTCTTCACTCAGAGGAACAAGAACTCCCTTGCCCAATGGCTCCCAAACTTCAGTAACCCAGGTGTTCTTGAACTGCAACTCGGTTTCACCACCATCTCTGCCGGTTGGGGTTTCTGGGAATTGCAATCCAGAACAGCTGGATTGGTTACCCAAGGTTGAGAACCACTGCTCTGGTCTAAAGAATAAAATGCAGGTCTCTGCCCCTCTAGAAACATGGCTGTGTTATCTAGGATCTGGAAACTATTCTCAACGGGCATATGGCTTTTAATAGATTACACATACATTAATAATACCAATATTAAAATATCAATAAATATGATATTAATATTAAAACATTATAAAAATGTTTTTATCCCACCTTTTACCATTGAAAAGACAATATTTAAAAGCTTAAAACAGTAAGCATATTTAAAAAGAATTAAACAAGTATTATTTTAAACCCAATTAATTAGAGTCAATACTCAGAACCCTTTAGAGCAACAGAGCATAACAGTCCATTAAAAAACCCCTATCAGGCAGCCAATCGCTAAGGAAGAGTTTGCCTGAAGAGAAAGGTATTTGCCTTCTTGTGGAAGGACAGGAAAGATGAAGCAAGCTTGGCTTCCTGTTGTGTGTAAACTGTATGTTTATTTACATAATGTCAATGAATATGACAGCATCCGATCTGTTTTTAGATGGCAAGTTGCTTCCCAAACTTCCAGTCCATAGTGAAGGATGTCAAAAGATTGTTCCACTCTAAACCAACAAAATAAGTAATTCTTTTTTATTTTAAGGTTAGATGAATGAAGCACTGGATGATCTGATTTTAAATTGTAATCAGGTCACAAAATTAGATTTGTAGACGTTTAAAAGCTTTATTTAAGGGGAAAAAAGAATGTACATACGCATACAGCATTATGTTTATTAAATTAATTTGCTCTTGATCACTTAGATCACTTATTACTGCATCAGTAAAGGTCATCATTCCTCTCCAGATTAGAAATGAGGATGCTTTCTTCAACGGCAGGAACTTCGGAGCTTGCCTCCACTGGACAGGCATTTCTGAGCTGCTGTATTCTTCTAAAAAGATGACTGGGTCTGTGTAAGCACCCGATAAATGCAGACACCGCACTGACTGCTATCACCAGAACTGATAATGTTATCAGGATTACAGTTCTGCGAGTCGATACTGCAATGGGAGAAGAAGGGGGAGGGGACTTAACAGCAAATCTGGCATCAATTTATTTGAATAAAATATTGCATAGTTTTAATCAAGTGTACCTTTTACTGACTGTATTGTAATCTCAGGAAAATCTGAAAAAATAATATTCCGGAATTAATGATTCAAATTATTGAACAAGGAGTTGCTTGAAGGGTTATGCAGAGAAGACACTCTTGTGCAACCAACAAGACAAATTCCACTTTTGATGGTTATAGTTAGGCAGGATCACTAGTACCTTAACAACAACAGAGCAGTTTAAGAAATGTTTGTCATTAATTCTAGGGGGTTTAGATATCTGGCTGTGAAGCTAGAGATTGAGAGTTTGATTCCCCACCGTGCCTCCAGGGAGAAGAGCCAGCCTGTGTGGCCTTGAGCAAGCGCCACAGTTCCAGGGTATCCCCAGAATAGGGTTGCCAGACGTCCGGCAAAAGGAGGACATGTCCTCCTTTTTAGCCTAAAGTCCTCCATCCGGCAGGCAAAGCTAATAACCTTTAAAATGTCCAGCTTTTGTACCTCCCCCCCTGCACGCACAATGGGTATTCAAGGTAACAGGCGAGCCTGAGAGCTACATGACACACTAGGCTCGCTCTCTTCTTTTTCACATCCAGGCACATGGAAGCTGGGCTGTATGTGGAAGCTGGCCCCTGAGGGCAAATGTGAGGCACTGCTTAGACCAACATCACCACTAGCCCTTGCCTGCCTGCATTCCATGTCACACATGTATCTGAGGTGGGGGATCAGTGCTCTACCTCTGTTGCCTTCCTGCTGTCTCGATGCCTGAATGCTTGCCTGCCTTCATGTATGTGTGCATACCCACTGTTCCCCACCGCCCCTGTTGGTTCTGCCAGCCCCCCGATGTGCTTTCTGCCCTACTCCACAAGCACAGGCTGGTGCTGCTTGCACGGTGACAACGCCTGATCCAAACAGGATCCCTGTGTGGCAAGGCAGCGACAGGAAACTGAGTTCTGCCAGCCATGGCCGGAGGGTGCATGCCCTTCCTCACACTCCTTTTCCTTCTCCTCTTGGCATTAACTTGATTTTGGGTAGTCCGAGGCTTACCTTCCCCTTTAGGTGGTGGCAGCAGGGGGGGAGCGAGCACATGATCTGAGAGACTGGGAATGATGCGAGTTCCAACCCAGCATGTCTGAAAAGCGCAGGATTCGGGGGCCAGAGGGGGAAGGGCAATTCTCTCCTGCAGAAACATATGCTTGGGGTTTTCCAAGCCCCATTATGTGGGATTCTTTTTAGATGAAGATGGGACGATACAATTGATCCCGCCACCTTCTTTATACAGATTGGCTCCGTCATCTCGCCCTGTGACTCTGGACCCAGCCTCCAAAAGTCTCGCGCTGGGTTTCATGGGCGCGACACGCCCCCGTGAGCAGGACATGGCCCCCCGCCCCCGTGCACAGAGCCCACCCCCCAACCGGTCTATGGTCCCAAAAAGGTTGGGGGCCACTGGTCTATGGTCCTCCTCTATCCTCTTTTTTGTCTTTCTATGTCCTGCTTTTTGTACCCATGTATCTGGCAACCCAACCCCAGAAGAAAGGAATAACACACAACCTGGAAAACTCTGGAAAGGGCCACCATAAGTCAGAATCGACTAGATGGCATATGATAATGATGATGATGAAGGCTTCCATTCCTCAACAAAAATACTATTGATTTTTATCATGCTACTGTGTAGAATTCTGTATATAAAAAACTATTGCCACTCCAGTTCTAAACCTATTACTGAGGATAAAAAAAAACTCTTGTTGATATCAGTGGGAGTACCTGGAAGTATTGTGGGAGTGGGGGAGATCCAACTAGCAAGTAATTAAGCAGAGTTTGCCTTGCTCAGCCACATAAAATTGTATTTCTGTATATACTCTGTATTGCAAAAGGGGAAGTGAGGGAGTGCCCTCCCCTTCTAACACGTTCAGCTAGTGATCAAGGAAGCATGACGGAACAATTCAATTACTGTGCCTAACCACATATCTTGTACAATCACATGCAAGTTTGTAAATTTTATTAGTTCTGAACTGTTTCACTGGGATGGTTAGGATGACAATGGCAAAAATCATCTTATGCAACTTTACATCACGCAACAACAGGAAAATTTAATTTAAATTAATCAAAAGCTTTCCACACACACACCCCTTTCAGGTTCCGAAGCTCCCTGGGGCTTCCTTTTGCCCCAGGTAAGTTTTTGGAAGCCCTGGGATGAAGGATGCCTCGAGAGCTATTGATAGCTAAATATCATCATTGGGTTGCCAGTGGAAGTCCCAATTCCAGTGGCAGCAATTTCTTGGCTAGTAAAAGCTCTCCCAATATCCCCAACCCCCGCCCCCATTTCCTCAGGGCAAAAAGCAGCCCCAGGGAGCTACTTTATTTGTTTGTTTGTTTATTTATTAGATTTCTATCCCGCCAAGGGTCTACTGTGGGTGGTTTGCAAATTTAAAAACAATAAAACCAAAAACATATAAGTCCAAGATGGTGAAGTATTTAAGATACGGCAGTTAAAATATGGCAGGAGGGAAAGCCTGCCCAAATAGCCAGTTTCAAGTTTATTCCTGAAAACACCCAGAGAGGGAGCGAGGCTGATTTCCACTGGCAAATTATTCCAAAGTCAAGGGGCCACTGCCGAGAAGGCCCTACTCCTTGTTCTTTCCTTCTGGACCTCCCTCGGCATTAGGCCCCTCAGCTGCCCGGCCTGGCTGGAACCAGTGACTCTGGCAGAGCAGAGTGGGAGGAGGCGCTCTGCCAGATATCGAGGTCCTAAACCGTTTAGGGCTTTATATGTAACTGTAAGAACTTTGAAATCAACGTGGAAACAGATGGGAAGTCAATGCAAGGCGGCCAGCGTGGGGGAAACATGTTGGTACCTTTTCACCCCAGAAAGAAGTCTGGCCGCTGCATTTTGTACCATCTGAAGTTTCCATGTCAGTCTCAAAGGCAGCCCCACGTAGAGCGCATTACAGTAGTCTAATCTTGAGACTATGAGTGCATGGACCAACGTAGTGAGCGCCCCCACATCAAGATAGGGATGCAGCTGGGCAATCCGCCATAGGTGGAAATGTGCGGAATGGACCACTGATGACACCTGGGTCTCCATGGTGAGTGCCGGGTCCAGATGTACAACCAAACTGCGAATCTCACTCTTGGTGGTAAGAGTCACCCCCCCCCCCAAAGGAAAGGGGGTTTCCTAGACCACTGATGCCTGGGACACCCACCCAAAGGGCCTCTGTCTTGCCTGGATTCAGCCTCAATCCATTCACCTGCATCCGTTGCTGAGCAGCCCCCAGGCAGCACTCAAAGGATGAAACAGCATCCACTGTTGTTGGAAAAAGTAGATGTAGAGCTGAGTATCATCAATGTATTCATGACACGAAGCCCCAAATGCCCTGTTGATCCCTCCCAGTGGCCTCATATAAATGTTAAACAGCATTGGGGAGTTAATCAAGCCCTGCGGAACCCCACAGTTGAGGTTCCATGGGGACGAGAAACTCTCTCCAATCTGCACTCTCTGGGGACGGTCCTCCAAGAAGGAATGGAGCTAGGCAAGAGCCTGACCACCGATTCCCAACTCGGAGAGCTTCCCCAGGAGAATGCCGTGGTCGACGGTATCAAAGGCGGCTGAAATATCAAGGAGGACCAGCAGAGACATTTTGCCCCTGTCGGCCTCCCTCAGTAGGTCATCAAACAGGGCAATCAATGCTGTTTCCGTGCCATGGCACGGCCTGAAGCCCAACTGGAATTGATCCAGGGCTTTGGTTTCATCCAGAAGAGCCTGTAGCTGATCGGCCACCACTCTCTTGACTACCTTGCTGGAAAGAAACATTGGCGACGGGCCTATAATTACCAATATTGTCTGCCACCAAGCTCAGTTTCTTCCTAATGAGCCTAATGAGTGTCTCCTTGAGGGCAAGGGTAATCTTGCCCTCCTGGAGAGACCCATTATTGCCATAGGCCATACAGATGTTATAGGCCTGGCTGCTTTGATTAGCCAGGCCAGGCCAGGATCAAGGGAGGAGGTGGTCTGATGTCACAGACACCATGTCTGATCTCACAGACACTGAAAGTGGTTAAAATTCATTAGGCAGGATGGAGCACTGGACATCTCAGCTTGAACCACTATTTTCAAATAGGGGGTAAGATCCCAGCAGATGGCCTCCACTTAATTTTAAAAGTGGAGGATTTAAATCCTTTTGATTTTAAAAAGGCTGCAAATTGGTCAGGTGAGATGCTAGGCCAGTCACTATGACCAACTCTGGATAGATCGTGAACTATACGGAAAAGTTCTGCCTGCTGGTTGTAGGCTACACTTATCCGGACAGCGAAGTAAGATCAACTAGCAGCCTTCACCTTAGATTGGTAGAGGTTAGTCGCGATCCTGAGAGCTATTTGATTATTTTCCGTTGGGTTCTGCCTCCATATGTGCTCTTCTCCTACTTCACTTCATTGATCGCAGCTCTGGATTAAACCAGGGCGAAGGGCGGTCTCTGCACCAGAGAGGGCATTTAGGTGTGATTGTGTCAACCGCCCTGGTGGCAGCGGCCAGCCAGCTAGCGACCAGAGCCTCAATAGGAGCACCAGTCAAATCGGCCAGAATCCCTCTCATGGTCTCCTGGAATCCTACAGGATCCAATAACCTTCGAGGGCGAACCATTAAAACAGCTTCTTGTGGGGGGGGTGAGAGCCACTGCAAGGTTGAATTTAATTAGGCAATGATCTGACCATGACAAGGGGATAGACACTAGGTCAGTCACCATCGGAGTACACTCACTCTGCTCAGTGGAGAACACCAGGTCCAGCGTGTGGTCACCCACATGGGTAGGGCTGTTGACATGTTGGGACATGTCCAAGGAGGCCATGGTCTCCAAGAACTCAAGAGCTGGACTGGAAACCTCCGCCTCCACATGCTCATTGAAGTCACCCAGGACCAAAAGCCTTGGGAACCCCAACAGTGCCGTGGAGATTAAGTCCGCCAGCTCCGGTAAGGAAATGGCTGGGTTGTGGGAAGCGTGGTAAACCAGCAAGATCCCTATATCATCCCTGGCCCTAATTGACATGTGGAGAGCCTCTAGACCCAGCATCAGCAGAGCAGAGCACCTAGCAACCTGAAGGGTGTTTTTGTAGACAATGGCTACTCCCCCACCCCTCCCCTCCAGTCTACCCTGGTGTTGGACTGCATAACCAGGAGGGCAGGCAAGAGTCAGGGAAATGCCCCGTCAGGATGTTGTTCTTTTGGTGAAGAGGGAGTTAATTTAATATTGTAATGAAGTGCAGAGTCACAAATGTGAGGTAAAAGCCAATGTAATGACTTACAGCATGCAGGTGTAACAAAGATGATGTAATGCTTAATTGCTAAGCAAGACCAGATGGAAATGGTGAAATGTGATTGGTTGTTCTGTGTATAAATGTAAGAGAGACAGAACAGACCTTACCACTCAGCAGTAAGTCTGGTGGTCATTTACTTCTACTGTATGTTATTGCTCTGAATGTTACTATGCCAAATGTATCTTGCCTTGTATATATGTGTAGCCATAACCAATATACTATATTATAATCACTAAGAACTCTCTCATGTTGTTTTCTCCCCACGTCTATCTCTTACTTTGCTAAAGTTAAATGGGAAGAATGGAAGCAGTCTGATAGGCGGCTTTGTATAACTAGTGTCCTTAAGTTTCAAGGCTTGTCTTTTAAACAGAATGCTCTTGCCAAGCTTCACATTCAACCATACTTTAAGAAGTTTTCTTGAGGCCAGAGCCTGGCCCCATGCCAACACCCCCTTCCCTGCCCATCCATGTTTTGGTTATGCATGCCAGATCTGCATCCTCCTCCAGAATCAGATCTCGTATAATCTGGGACTTATTTGATACAGATCGGGCATTCAACAACACCAGGTTTAGAGTGGAGGGCCGGCTGAGTTGACTACCTCGAGTCTGGCAGGAGGTCACAGTGCCAGAACAGTGAACAGATTTCAAGCATCTGTTCACCATTCTTCTGGAACGAATGACAACAGTACCTATACCATATCTCATGAGCTTGGAGGATGGGGAACAGGAAGTTTTCAATGAATTTACATTAAATATTCCTGTTGCCAGATGATATCATCTGGCTTCCATGGAATAAGTTATATGCAGAGGATTCTGGCCCTTAAAATCTAGTTTGACTGAAAGAAGGGAAATGAGGAGAAAGTGGGGGTGGGGGCAAGCAGATGGGAAGACAAAATGAGCCTGGAATTCATTCATTTCTTGAGTTCTAGAATATATAGCTGCATACATGTTTTCCATAGCTCATCTATAAAACATATAAGATCATTCAAATTAGAATGATATTAGCACTGATTTTTGGTGAATGTAAAACAAATGACACAGAACATTTCAGAATTTCAGCATGTTTTTTGGGGAAAAACTCGATTAGTGATCCCAAATATTTTTTGGAGGGGGATCACTATGGAAATCAAGATGAATGTGCTCAGGGCATTATAATGAACTATTTGCAGAACTTGGAAAAGCTATTAGGATTTGGACTACAATGTTCAAAAATCATGCTGGCTAAGGAGATTTTGGGAGGGGCAGGAAAAAGAAAGTTTTTCTAAGCTCTGGATATTTCCACCGTTTGGAAATATTCTCCCCCCTCCCCTTTTCTTTACCACAACTCACAGAATTCCCTGAATCGAGCTATTTCTAATTGTGACTATTTCTCACAATATACCTTTGGGCATAATGTCCTTTTCTTGCAACGTGAGGTCTGACAGGTTTTATTAAAAGGGATGTGAAACATACCAACGTAGTAACAGACTTTCAAAGCCTGATGCACCAGCCAAATACTGTACAGTGGACCCTCGACTCACAGACGGCTCGACTTACAGACTTTTCGAGTTACAGACTTCTCTGGCTGCAAAATTTAGATTCGACTTGCAGCCAGATAATCGACTTACAGACCAGAAAAAAACCAAAATGGAATAAAAATAGAATAAAAACCACTGGTTGTGGGATTAATCAGTTTTCAGTGCATTGTACGTCAATGGAGATTTGACTTAAAGACTTTTCGACTTGCAGCCACCATTCCAATACGGATTAATTCCTTAAGTAGAGGGTCCACTGTACCATTTTAAAAAAAGGTGGTGTTTTTCATCAGGTTGTACAGCTAAGTTAGGTAGGAAAGGTCAGGGATAATTTCCTACTATGCCTCTTGGGAGAACAGCCAGCCTGTGTGGCCTTGGCCAAGTTATACAGTTGTCCCCAGAAGAAGGGAATGGTGAATCACTCCTGAGCACTCTTTACCTAGAAAAGCTTGGAAAAGGGTTGCCATAACTCTGAATTGACTTGAGAATAATTAATTATTATGAAGCACTTAATTTTCAAGAGAAAAGAGACTGGTGTGTGGATGTTCCTGTACAATCTTGAAGAACACATGAAATAACAATCTGATAGAAACGATATATTAATGTTTATTCCTTTTAAGGACCATGTGCTATACAAACAGAAGAAAAAAGTGAAATTGAAAACTTTTCGTTAGCTGTCCCAAAACAACAACAAAAAAGAAAAAGTGAGTTACATAAAGGAGAAAGCTGTTTATTGTGGACTGCAAAATTTGCTATATGTCGGATGCCCTGTGGGAACTAGCATGGAGTTACTTAAATATTTAAAGCAGCGATGACCGTCACTATGATTGATGACTACCTGAATTTTAAAAGCAGTTAACTGCATATGATCACAGAAGATCTGAAGGAGGACTATAAGAGAGAGAGGAATGAAATGGAAGTTGTAACATATTCATACCTGTATTAGTTCTACATACAAATCCTTTCTTTTCTTGGCAGGATGATAATTGCCAGGCTCCATCTGCGGTCCTCAAAGCAATGCAAACATCTCCTTTAATCTGAGCCCGTACAGGTTCTTTAATGCCCCAGTTTGTGTAATAAACTGGAGAGCCATCGAATGATACTAACGTACTGTCTATGGATAAAAATAACAAAATCAGTATATAGCCTGTGCTTCCCAAATGTCATCAATACAACCATACAGTTCTAGAGGTCCCTTTTCTTCTCAGACACCACTTATATCAGAAGCAAAAATTCATATGAGTTTCCCAGGAAGCTTCAAGGAGAAAAACACTAGATTTCTGTTGGTTCTTGTTCCAAAACCTAGTGGCCCTGGAGCTAAAAAGGTAAGGAGAAAGTCCATCTAGCTGTAATAATCTTGGAAAAATTATGGTAGGTAATAACTGGAAGCTGTTCACAAGATGTTCTCTATCTACATCAAAGATGTTCATCTAGTATTTATGAAAAATCAACTTCTTTTGGATTTTCTCCTTTATTTTATTTTTAACTGTACAATTAATACAAGCCATGAAGAGCATTTAGGATATAGAATGTAAAATGAAAAACAAACATAGTCTTTCGTGCAAGTGCCAATGGATTTTCAGTTTGGGTGCAATGTTATCTCTTTGTTTCTCTTCAAAATTATTTTCGAATCATTCCATAAGGCTATAAGCAGGGTGCAGGATAATATATCTAAATGGATCTGTTGAGTTACAACCCATTCTCTCTGATGGAGTATCTACAGGAATATCAATTAATGCAACTCTTTTCTGAAGAGGAATAATTAAAACATATTTAATATGCATTTTTAAACATGAGGCACAGAGATAAACTGTCAGCTTAACTGTTCTTATATTTTCTTCCCTATTTTATAGGAATAGGAAGAATTGTGTATTTAACCTGAAATTTGCTAGCTTACAGCAGGCTGTGCTTCCCAACCACTCCCAGACAAGGTAGCAAAAGTGACTGATAATGAGAATCAAGAAAAGTGATCAAGAAGTAAGGGTCACAGACTAAGGAGGAAGCAAAGTAATTCCTCCATCGATTACAGCATGACTGTTAAGTCAAGAACACCCAAGCATACTAACTGCTGATACAGAGAATGAGGAATAAGCCCATTACATAGAGGAAATGGAGAAAGAACAAAAAGGTCGAGGAGCCGCAATGCAACACAGTGCAAGACAGCTTATTGGTTGTGATTTATACATCAACTAGTAGATAACCAAGTTACCCCCTGAAAAGAAAAGACATGCATTTCCTTTGGACCAACCACAGATGGATAGATTTGGTTGATGCTTTCTCCCCTCTCCAGAAGAACATAATGAGAGCCATGGTGGATTAGCAACAAGCCTATTTAGTCCAGTCTGTACCTCCCAGTAGCTACCAGATGCCTTGCCAACAGAAAGTCTGTAAGAAGGACACAAGGACAATTGCAGCCTCCATGCTCTCCAGCAACACTGACAGATATTTTGCAAAGGTTACTCAAAACAGTACTCCGCCACCATCAGAAATACCCAGTGATAGACTTTTCCTCCATGAATTTGAAAAGCTGTTCAATTTGTTGACCATCACTACTTCTTATAATACTTACTGCCAGTGAGAAACCTGACATTCAACCAAATCATTTCAACCAAGGATGTTAAAGTATATAGTTCTTCCAGAATAAATGTATTTTCACCTTCATCTTTAATAGTTAGAAGATTGGAACCTGAAAATGAACATGTACCAGATCGGTTTATTGAGTATTCCTGTGTGGAAGAGAAGGTGCAAATAACTCAAGATTTTAGACCCAGATGTAGTTATTAGAATTTTGATCATGTTTTGATTAATTTTATAAAGAAAAAGATAACAATCTGTCTCGATCACATTGCTTATTTATTTATTTATTGCATTTCTATACTGCCCCATGGCAGATGGTGGTTCAGAAACTGAAGCTAAAACTACCAAATATAAACACGTAATAAAACATAATGTGAAATCTGGTGAAACCAGCAGAAGAGGGCAATAGGCATGTAAAGATTTAAAAGCACATATTTAAAACTGAAAGGCTAGAAATAAGTTTTCACAACACAGGCACCACCATTGAAAAAGCCCTCTCTCAATTAATAATGGATCTATTAAGCCAGTGATGCATCATTTGTAGCAACTTCCTGTTCATCTCAGGCCTAATTCAAGGTCCCTGTTTTCCACATTAATAGCTGAGAACCAAGGTATGTAAAGGATAAGTTGTTTTAGATGGGCTTACTTAGACCCTACATTTCCCAGCCAAACGCAGTGAGTAGTCACTAGGAAAGGACCTTCCAATGGCAGAACTTTGACTCATTGTTATTCAACTCTGAAAGAGTTTCCTCTAACTGGGAGTAGGTGTTATGGCTGTATTATGTCCGTGCTTTGCTAACTGCATTGGCTTGCAGATTGTTTCTAGTTCAAAGAGTTGGTTTTGGTCTTCAAAGCCGCTCAGGGTCTTTGAATGACCACCTGTCTTCATATGTACCTACCTATACATTACAGGATTCTCATTGTGGAGCATCTTCCAGATCTCCCCATCGTCTAAGGAGAGATGAGTGGCCAGCAGAACTTTTCAGTTATGCCAAACTAGTGGTGGAATGCTCTCCTCAAAGGTTACTTCAGGCCCCTAATTTATTAATGTTCTCCTAGCTTTTGAATCTTGCTGATCACATTATTCTATTTATAATATTGTAGCTTTTAGCTTGCTTTTTTTGTATTTTTTAAGGTTTTTAAAAAATTCTTGTTCTCATTTACTTTGGGAACATGACTGAACATTGGTATTAAACCCACTTGTAATAAAGACATGAATGAGTGAATGTTTCTGTTTGTTATATTTTAACTGCCTATAGGTAGAGTCCTGTTAACTTACACAACTGAAAAAATTGGCAATTACACAATACATCTCAGCCCCCAGCAGCCTTTCTGCCAGTCTAATGTATTGATTGTGCAACTGTGACCAGTTTACAAAAGACAGCTCAAAGAAGGAGAACATTTGGAGCAATTTCTTTTACTTCTGTGGTATTTGTTACCAGGATTCTGACCTTCATTTCTTCCTGCACCATGTAAACCATACTGATAATTTGTCTGAAGAACAGGGCATTCCCAGTCCATAAGCTAAATATCTTATAACCTCTTGCCATGGGCCATGATGAATGGGCCTGATGGAAATTGTAATCCAAAACATGTGAATGAGATCAGGTTGCCCACTCCATTTGGAAATCCCAGGACTTTGATCATCAATTCTGCTGGCTGCAAAGAAAGTGCTCATGGTAAATCAAACCAGAGACAATTTATGTTACTCCAAAAATAACAAGCAGAATAGATTATCAGTTTACTTCCCTGGAGAAGAGAATGCACCAACTTTCCAACCAATATACTTGAATCAAAACAACCAACCTATGGATGCTGTACTGAAGTGACAAAATACACATTTTTGTTCAGCAAGGCTAGAAAGTGGTTTTTTTTTTTCTTTTTTGAGAAAGAAGGGGGAAAAAGCCTCAGGCTCATATCCAAATTTTAGAATTTGCTGTTACATGTAAACTGCACTTTGCTTAAAAAAACACACCATCAGAGTACTTTAAATTATTCATCCATATTAATGTACAAAATGGCCACAGTCCCAAACTTTTGGCAAAATGGACCTGTATCTAGCTTTCTTTCGATTGCGTCCATTATGTCCCAGACCATCAAAAATGGACCATTTTCTTTTTTGGTAATAACCAGCCTTCAACTCTGAAAACAATTTTAGAAATGAAAGCACATAAAAAGTTTTGCCAATATGTACAATTAGCAGGTGATTACCTTGCTTTTGGCAAAATTCAAATGCTTCGTTAAAATTTAAGTTCTTAAGAACTGTGGAAAAGCTGTAGCAGCTACTTTCAAATTTTATCCAGGGGACAATCTTTTCACCACATAATCCCTTATTTTCTGTGGTTTTCCATTCTGTGAGGGAAGGAATAATTCAGCCATTAAGACAAAGAATCCAGAATTCATTTTCTAAAGATTCCACAAATTTGATATTAGCTTGCTGAGACTATGATATTATATGATACCCCTGTCACACTCAGGAGGTTCAGAAAGGATATTATGCCTTAGCCAAATTAACAAAATTTTAAAAGATATGGGGCAACTCTGTTTTTAGTTTTTATTTTGCTTGCTTATGAAACCTTCTTCAACAACCTTAAGTTACTGCAGGCCCATATTACAGCCTACACTCTACTTCCATCACATTATTTTTGCTTGGCGGTCTTCATGCTACTATTTTGCTACAAAGCAAATTGACTGCACCGAACATAAAAATATAATAAGAGTTGTATTAGATCAGACCAAAGGCTTATCTGTTCCAGCAATCTGTTCCCACAGAGACCAAACAGATGCCTTTGAGTAACTCACAAGCACAACAAAACACCCCAGCAACTGCTTTTTAGAAACTAGTGGTTCTGATACTGGAGGTAATATAGAGCCACCATGACTAATAGCCATTTATAGGCTTATCCTCCATGAATTTTTCTAATCTCCCTCCTAAAGCTATCCCTAATGGCTTCCAACACTGTATCATTTGTATTTTGGGATAACAGTTTCAAAACATCTCATCTGTACAGGCAGATAGCCCACTTCTTTCTTTTAGGCAGAAACGCTATTGCAGATTTTGAGTATGTACAATATAGCTGAAATACATCATAGCATACAGCATTCAAACAAGACAATTACATCCTTACAACTTCTGCTTTGAGAAAGACAATGAAAGATTGGGATGGTCTATTTGCTGGGCGTGTCTTTTAATGTAACAGCTGACTGGGTGAAATGTGACAAATTGTTTTGTTCAAAAGTCTCTCACTAGTTGAAATCCTGTTGCTTAGCCTTGTTAGTTGCAATAACAAGAAGGCCATTAAACCAAGGCAACTTATGGAGGAGCTGATTCACCAAATCCCCAACGGGCCTACTGTGGCCGAGACTTACTATGCTAAGCAACAGGATTTCAGTTGCCTTCAATGGAAGTCAAACTGGAAACACACACACTGGAGGTCCTGCCAAAATGGGCTCTGAACAGGCATAGGAAACAAATATATGTGGGTGACAAGCCTCAGTCAGGATTTAGAAAAACCGGTTTCTTTAATGCATTTATAGGGAAGCAGCTAGCTTTGTGCCCCTCCCCTGTGGCTTTCTTCAGTGTGATAGCCGATGAGTCCAATGAGTTTATGAGCACTTAACATTTACAGTGTAGGCCTGCAAGCAGAGCCCATCTGTGAACAGAAATCTCCTCCTTTTCAGACCTGTTGGTCATTGCATGAAGAACTCTAAGTGCACTGACAAAACTGGATTTTCTAGTGCCTGAATAGGGATACAGAGGTTATAGTGAAATACAACAAACTTACTAGGTGAAATGTGGCAAACTGCCCCATTCAGAAGTCTCTCACAGCCAGTACTTCTCCAATTTCCCTTAGTACTGATATAAACACATCCTCCTGAAGTTTCAGATTCTTCATCTCCCCAGAATGTAAGGAAAGGCTTGGTACCATCAGACCACTCAAAATTAAGACCATTCTGCCAAAATACGTTTTTGATTAGTTTTTCCAGCAACCACAAGAAGATTATGAAACTACCTATCCTCAGAAGTCCACTTGGTCCCTTCTATCCTTCCATTCCACAAAAACGCAAGAAAGGCCAAGCATTTAAGCTGCTGGATAGAATTTGAGCAATCAAACGTGCAAAATTAAGCCTCTGTTAATACAATCACACACAAGATAGCTTTCAAGATACAGAGGTGAGAAAAAGCTTGTGCTAGGACAAAAAGCTTTACTATTGAATGCAGCATTGCTTCTAAAGCCCTGAGCCAACAATGCAGATGTGGAACCAAGGATTGAAGAGATGCTTTCAAGATACAGAGGTGAGAAAAAGCTTATGCTAGAACAAAAAAGCTTTACTATTGAATGCAACACTGCTTCTAAAGCCATGAGCCAACAATGCAGATGCGGAACCAAGGATTGAAGAGATGTGATGACTAGACATGGGGATGAATTAAAAAATGGATCGCGATATTCATCAGAAATCACTGATTTCTTAAATATTTGTCCCTTCATATTCGTGGATTCCAGAGACCCAGATGAATATGAAGGGATGAATATTTCCCCATTTTTATTCGTCCTCCATACAAAGAGAAATCCTATGGCTTTCCCATTCTGCCTACTGGCCTGCCGATCAGCTGATTGGCAGGCCG